TCTTGGAAAAACCTGGGTTAGAATTCCAACTCTACACTTACCTTGAGGAAGATGCTTTTAACCTCTTGACCTTCAGTTTCTTCATCTGTAAAGAAGGATAATGAGACTTCTTGGGGTTGTTGTGAAGATAAATGGGGAGATATACATCTCACCTATTACACTGATTGGGAAAAGCAAGTGCTCAACAGGTGAAGGTGATGGAGGTGGTGGAGGTGGTGGAGGGATAGTAGTAACTGGCGGTAGTGATTTTGGCCCTGAGTTAGTGTTGGAGGTGATGGTGGTAATAGTGATACTTAGGGTGATGTTAATGTCAGTGGTGATGGTGGTGGATGTATTGGAGGCATGGCAGTGATTTATTGATGGAGGAGTGATAAGGTTGGTGGTAAAGGTGGGAGAGGTGGTTGTGGCATTGGGTAATGGTGGTGGTGGTAATGATGGTGATGATGCTGGTGATGGAGGTGGTGGCAGTGATGAAGGTGGTGATGATGCTGGTGATGGAGGTGGTGGTGATGATGGTGATGATGCTGGTGATGGAGGTGGTGGTGATGCTGGTGGTGATGCTGGTGATGGAGATGGTGGTGATGTTGGTGATGATGCTGGTGATGGAGGTGGTGGTGATGATGCTGGTGATGGAGGTGGTGGTGATGATGGTGATGATGCTGGTGATGGAGGTGGTGGTGATGGTGATGATGATGCTGGTGATGGAGGTGGTGGTGATGATGGTGATGATGGTGGTGATGGAGGTGGTGGCAGTGATGAAGGTGGTGATGATGATGGTGATGGAGGTGGTGGTGATGATGGTGATGGAGCTGGTGGTGATGATGGTGATGATGCTAGTGATGGAGGTGGTGGTGATGATGGTGATGATGCTGGTGATGGAGGTGGTGGCAGTGATGAAGGTGGTGATGATGATGGTGATGGAGGTGGTGGTGATGATGGTGATGATGCTGGTGATGGAGCTGGTGGTGATGTTGGTGATGATGCAGGTAATGGAGGTGGTGGTGATGATGGTGATGATGCTAGTGACGGAGGTGGTGGTGATGATGGTGATGATGCTGGTGACGGAGGTGGTGGTGATGATGGTGATGATGCTAGTGATGGAGGTGGTGGTGATGATGGTGATGATGCTGGTGATGGAGGTGGTGGTGATGCTGGTGATGATGCTGGTGATGGAGGTGGTGAGGATGTTGGTGATGATGCAGGTGATGGAGGTGGTGGCAGTGATGTACGGGGATGGTTGTCTTGGGGGCATGAGGTAGTGGAAGTGGTAAGTGGGGGCGGTGTGCATGTAAGTAGTGGTGATGGTGATGGTGAAGATGTGGTGGTAGAGGTGGTGAGTATTGATTGTTGGTGTTCACTGTGGTTGTGGTGAAGGAAGCTACTGTTGTAACTGAATTAGAAAGAGAAATAACCGAGAGATGATTTCAGCACACTAACTTTTATGAAAACAACTTTATTGGGATGAAATTAACATACCATCACATTTGCTGTTTTAAGTGTATGATTCCATGTTGCTTTGTATGTTTACAGAGATGTGTAGCCATCACCAGAATCTAATTTTAGAAAATTTTCATCACTTACAACAAAGCCCATACCCATTAGTAGTCACTCCCCATTTCTCCCCCAACACAATCCTTTTTAGATGGTTTTCAAAACCTCTGAGGGCCCACATGCTGTGGAATCAAAAGTGCATATTTCATTTGTAAGAAAAATCCATCGCTTCTTTCTCAGGTGCAACAATTCATTCTGCTTGATAACTAGCGATTGTATTAGAGCCCTGGAAAGAAATGTGTGAAACCACTGCTACCTTCAAATAACTCACCATTCTCTTCATACATATCTCTTCAAAGTCAGAAGGAGAGCTCTCTTCTTTGCTCCTTGTGATAAACACAGTCCCTTGCATTACCATATCGGATTTCACATCTGAAAGAATAATAACAAGAAATCCTATCTCATTAACAGTCAACTGAAACACAACCTTTTTGAAATAAGATACCCAATAAGTCCCACTTCTGGGACTTCAGTCGAATAAACAAACTTAAAAACAAGGTTCATTTGTGGTAGGAAATAAGTTACAAAACAATATCCCAAACAAAATTGTTGGAAAAATGAGTCAGTAAAACATGGAATATGATTTTTAAAAACTGGAAGTAAACATGAAAGTATGATCATAAATAAAAATAATCAGTCACTAAATTGTAGAGTATGAAGACAACCATGTGAAGACCAAAAACAAACTTCAATTTCGCTTAGAGAAAAAAACATATCAGAATTTGAATAGTGATTACATAGGAATGGTGGCTGTATACTTTTATTATTACAAAAAAAAAACACTAAAATAATTTTCTACAAAATATTTTGCAGAAGAATCTAATAAACAAAAATAACCTTCGTGTCACTCCAGAATTAGCAGGACTAAAATTTAGTTCTAAGAAAAATGTAAAGAATGTTCTATTTCTTTTGTACAAAATATTTAAACTGAACAGGGCAAGAACCGCTGTGTTGCCTACCCTATTTAACCAGTTAGAATGTGCTTTCACCCTCAGAAAGTGAAAACAGGAAGATTTCTCCACCCACCTATCTGTGCAACCAAATCACGGGCATGATTAATCCCCCCAAACCCAGGAAGGGAAATGTCAGCCAGCAGGTCCCTCTGCTTGTGGAAGATTCAGCTAAATTGGGTGCTGTGAGTGAACATTTACTCATGGGCATTTGCCTCCACTCCCTACACCCCCTACCTGATCAGACTCCATAGCTCCTATCCTGGGATCCTGACTTGGCACCTTAGGGAGACTTAAATCGTCACAGGGAGCCCGTTGAAAAATTAGAATATTTTTTAAATTTGAAAAGTCCTTTATATTTGGGTGACCATATTAAACATTAAAAAACTTTGTGATATAGGAGAAATATCTTTGTTTTATATTTGACTTATCCATGGCTTTTGGAGGGAAATTGATTTTGCTAATCAATCCAATGATACAAATGCAATTCAGTGGTTTAGGTAAAACAAATTCCAGGTAATGGAATTCTCGACATCTGAAATCTTTGGATCCAATTTTAAATCAGAGTGAAAAGTTGTAGTTCACCAATGCAAAAGCAGGAGTGCATACACACTTGCTTATAATAAGAAAGGGGTGTGCTTTTGTGTCAACGTCTGACTGCCAACTTGACTGCAGAAGTAATGGTTTCCAGGCTGTTTCTCTGATACCTATTAGCACCATGTAAATGCCTGAAATCAGATGAGTTGTTGAGAAAGGCAGTGGGATCCAAGAAAACCATAAATGAGGAAACTCGCCTGAAAAAAGAAAATGTGATTTTACTGCTCTTATATAACTCAAACACCCAAAGACAGCTGGCGACATTCATGCCGCGGGGGGCTGGCGTGGTAGGCCATCCACAGGCGTCTGCTGAATTCGTTCCTGCCGCTGTCTGTCCCGACCCTCTTCTGCCTTCCTCCTGCTGGTGGACCAGCCTCACCCCACCCCCATCCTGGGCAGATCCTCTCTGTCTGCCATTCCTCACCCCTGGGCATTCAGCAGCCCCCCCGCAATCCATTCCAGCTGCTCTGTCTCTCCCACCCCACACCCTCCCTCCCCTTCCGGAGCCCTGGCCATCCCTCCAGCCCTGCCTGTGGTCAGCATCTTCTGACTGCTTTCAGGCCACGCTCATTTTGCCACTTTCGAGAAGCCTGCTGGCCTTCATGGTCCAGTACCACACACCTGAACACTTCAGATTTCTCTGCAGTTTCCTGAGTGCGTATTTCCTCTCTCCAATGGAATTGTAAGCATTTTCAGAAAGCTTTTCAGAGCCCCAAGAGACCTTAATCCACGGTACTGAAATACACATGTACACGTACACATGCACATACATACACATATCACTCACACATATGCACACACAGACATAATACAAATACACACACTCAACACACACACACACACACACACACACACACACACACACACACAGAGCTGTTGATTGCCTGAAAGCCTACCACACCTTTATTACTTTAGAGCATCACTTTGATGTTCTTAAAACATACTTGAAAAAAGTCTGGATCCTTAAAAATTCCAATGTGTCAGCGAAAACTGTTCTGTTTTTGACTCGTAACTCTAGCCTCACCTTGCCCATCTTAAATCACCATAAAATGATCCCCAAATGACTCAGGCCTTAATGAAAGAAGTTTGCCTTCCTGCCAGGGGTGGACTCCCCTTCACACCCAGCTTTAGATGTGCAAACACCTTTGTTCTGGAATATTCCATTAGAGTATAAGCTCCATGAGGGCAGGGACCTTTTTTTAAAAAATCACTTCTGTTCCCCAGTGCCTGGAACAATGTGGCAGAGTTCCGTAGATATTGCTGGGTGAAAACACGAACCTCAGTCTCCCCAGGTGATGGCTGGTGTAGGCAGAGGTACCACAGATGCAATCCATCTTTCCAAACTTCCCCACCACTTAGAGAAGTCAGCTGTCCTGGCAGCATGAGGGGGAGGGGCTGGGAGCACAGGCTCTGTGGTGGATTCCCCTCCTGTCCCTCATGTCTGTGGGACCTCCTGTGTCAATGAAGGTTTTGGTGGTGCTATGTCCCAGGGCTGCAGTGAGGGTTGGGCTCATTTGCACAGGTAAAGGCAGAGCATCTTGGCCACGAGCAGCCTCTAGGTGTGAGTTTGCTGCTACTATTACTATTACTACTGCCACACCTGTTACGATTATTTCCACGCTTATTCAATTTCATTTTTATTTGCCTAAGAGGAGGGCAGGTGCCGGTTTTCCTCTTGTCACACCTCGAGTATCCTTTCTTGTTTGATTGTTTAGCTACTCACATTTTACTTGGTAACTTTGCAACGTCCAAATTATTCACGGAGTATAATTCGTAGCTTGGCCATAGGTATAGAGTAGGATTAACCAGCTTTCGAACAGGTTTAAAGCATCCGAAAATAACATTGTTTTTTTACCAAATCACAAAAAGTGTTCTTCAGTGATTCTTCTCTTTCCTGTTTAGGCTCCCAAGAAACATCTGCAAAATGGGATTATCCGTGGCTACCAAATAGGTTACCGCGAGTACAGCACTGGAGGCAGCTTCCAGTTCAACGTCATCAGTATCGACACCACGGGGGACAGTGAGGTTTACACCCTCAGCAACCTCAACAAGTTCACCCAGTACGGCCTGGTGGTGCAGGCCTGCAACCGGGCCGGGACGGGGCCTTCTTCTCAGGAAGTCATCACCACCACCCTCGAGGATGGTAGGTTCCAGCCGCTACTCTGGGTCCCCAGAGCCTGGCCGCCTTCGGGCTTTGCAGTGACAATGGCATCCAGGCCGGCAGGGACTGGGGGTTCCAGTGGGGAAGCTGCCCTGATTAACTTGTGGGCTGCCTTGGTTCGGTGCCCTTGACAGACCTTGATTGCAAAGCCAAATCCATCCCTTTTTCAGCATCATTCTCCATCAAACCCAAGAGGTGGGATTTTCCCGCATGAAACCAAAGCTCTCCCTATGACGGCGGCAGTCTGGCCAGAATGTAGAAATCCGATTTTTTAAGAATTTCTCACAAATCACCATAAAGGAGGATTTTTTTCTTTTTCTTTTTTCTTTCTTCCTTCCTTCCTTTCTTTCTTTCTTTTCTTTCTTTCTTTCTTTCTTTCTTCCTTTCTTTCTTTCTTTCTTTCTTTCTTTCTTTCTTCCTTTCTTTCTTTTTTCCTTTCTTTCTTTCTTTTCTTTTTCTTTCTTCCTTCCTTCCTTCCTTTCTTTCTTTCTTTCTTTTTCTTTCTTTCTTTCTTTCTTTCTCTCTTTCTTTCTTTCTTTTTCTTTCTTTCTTTCTTCCTTCTTTCCTTCCTTCTTGCTTGCTTGCTTGCTTTTTATTTTTAAGCGTTCTGAGACCAGAGAACAGGAATGAGCAAGCTTCCTTGGAGCAAATCTCATGGTGACTGTGCGCCCCCTAGTGGCCATAAGGAATTAATGTACCCTCCCACCTTGACCACCGAAGAGCTCACATTTTCCAGCAATGCTTGAAAAGAGAGAGAACCCTAGCGTCCAGAAGCACCATCTTTTAGGTGCAGAGGTCAGATATAGGGTTAGCTGTAGGAGTAGGTGATAGATTCTTCTAGCAGCAAGCTTGCACGGCAGTTGCCTCTCGTGCAACTAGCCACTGGATCATAAGTTTGAGAACACACATGGTGACTTGCATCTATAATTTCTGACCGTTTTCACAGGGGAGAAGACAGCTAGAAACCAGAAGTCCAGGCTTTTCTTTCCATCTTCATAGTCTTTGCAGGCGTGGTTAGATAGGCCTTTGGGTTTTCACTTTGATGTTCATCTTTCACTGATGTTTGCAATTCAGTCACTATTTTGCCCCCTCTCCCAGCCACGACATTTAAGGTTTGCATAAACCCACATGAAAGATACTTCAGATATCCTTCTAGCCTGTATCCTAGTCCATTTTCGCTCTTTCCTCTGACGAATGGTATAGTATTGAAAGGGGCCCTGCTGGAGATGGGACAGTGAATACGATGACGTGTCTGCTTTTTGGCACTTTCAATAGTGAGGCTTTCAATTTACAAGCCAGGTATTACTCAGTATGAGGAGATGTACTGTATAAAGTATATGTAACTTACAACAGTAACTTTCAAGGGTAATGGGCAAATAAGCCAGACCAGCAATGGTCTTTTACTCATGCAATAGGATCAGAAGTGTTCTCAACTCCATAAGCCTGGGGCTTCAAAGTGAAGCAGTTATTCTGGAAAGAGAGACAGCGGAAGTCATATGAAGTCATTGCATTTTACTGAGTTATCATAATATTTGTATAGAGAAATGGTGCTCGTTTTTTTCCTTAATTTGGGGGATTGAGTGCATTTTTTTCTTTTCCTGTACTTTGAAATATTACACTAATGTTGCTTATTCAATATTGCTTTGCTAATTAAACCACCCACAGTTTTTACAGATTCTAATTATCTAATTTCAGTGCCCAGTTACCCCCCCGAAAATGTCCAAGCCATAGCAACATCACCAGAAAGCATATCAATATCCTGGTCCACACTTTCCAAGGAAGCCTTGAATGGAATTCTCCAGGGGTTCAGAGTCATTTACTGGGCCAACCTCATGGACGGAGGTAAGGGGATGAAACTAGAACTTTGAGTTTGCCCCAAAGGATGCGCAATGGAATTTGCAGACCCCCTCCTCCTACCGTGGGATTCAGCACAGGGTGGGCAGTTCTTTATCGATGGGTATTTTTCTCCTTTCCCCACGTCTTTCTGTTATCTCACATCTGACATTTTTAACAGGTGTGCACAGCTGTTTAAATCATATACCTTCAAAAAGCAATTTGAAGGAAAAGAGGGGGGTGGCACTTGGGGAATCTAGGAATAGATGTGTTTTCCTAATTATGAGTATCTATGTCAAGCCTCTGCAGGCAGCACCAAAACCTTGATCTGTATCTAGAAAGTTCTGCATGATGTGTATCCTAAAAGGCTGACTTCCTCCTATTCCCCGATAGGACTCAGCAGGGAAAGTTCTTAAGCTCCTGTAGTTGAACTAGAAGGGGTTCAGGAAGAACGCCAGAGCCAGAACACCTTGGGCGGAGGAGTACTGTTCCCACGAGGAGCGCTTTCATCCCAAACCCTCCACTTTTGTCCCCTCCTTTTTCTTTTTTCCTCCTTGTATTGCCTCTCTTCCTTCTTGTTTCTTTGTGATTATTATTATTTTTCTTTCAAGTTGTAGGACAAAATTCTCCAGTTTGGAGGCAAGACTTGGCACGAGACAGGGTCAGCTCAGGGAGTGGCAAGATTGGGGCTCCAAGTGTCTTGAGCAGAGCAGAGGCCTGACGTCACGAGCCAGGCTGAGCCCCGCTCCAGGAGCACGACAGGCCCGCCCTGAGTTACAGCCCCTAACAGGAAAGGCTCTGCTCTCTGCTTGTGGCCCAGGACTCGGGTGGCCCACACCTGCACCCTCCCCCGCTCCCCATATCCAGCCCCCGGGGGTGCCTCCCCTCTGGTTTGGGGCTTCCTGCAGCTCTTCTGACTGTGGGTCCTCTGAGTCTGGGAAAACACAGAGGCCCCCAGGGCATTTCCCACCTCTGCTCAGGACCACCTGGGTCTGCTCTGCCAACGCGGTCGCTTTCCCCACCCAGGTAATCAGAACACACTGAGCCTCAGAGGCTGCAGGGGTTCCACTATTGGTGCCAGAATAAAAGACGGAAGGCAGCTTAATTTGCTAAGTAAATAGCAGAGTTCCAGGCTTAGCTGTTTACATCTGCAGCCAGAGTTGTGTCTCAGAGCTGAGGACCAGATCTGATTCCCTTGATGTCGAGGTAGAGCTTTTCATAGTACCAGCAGTGGGAGACATTCTGATTTGCCTTCTGGGTGCCCCCGAAGCAGACGTGTTACCTGAGCAGCTACTCTGTGCTGAGCTCCTGCTTGGCGCTGAGGCTGCAGCATCTGCCCCGATGGATGCTCTAGCCTAGTGAGAGTGGGGATGGGTACGTGATGCATACAGAACCTCCAGCCCAGTAAGGCACAGCCAGCCCCACGGAGGGATAGAGTTAAACAGATGATTCACTTCACCTCCTCCCTGCAAACAGAGCTTTAAAATTCCCATAGAAGTAAAATACGGAGCAACGAAAAATTTCAAATTATCTACTTTACTGACACAATACAGTAATAGATCATTGCATATACTTGTTCTGGTTTCTAATCCTCATCTTGAATAAGATAAAGTTAAACACCCTAACATACTCCCCTAAAGGCAGTGTTAAGCTAAAATCGTTCCTTTTTTGTTCTTGTTGGAAACATTTCCATGATCCGGTGGTGACTGTTCATCACATTTTCACATTTTACTCATATGTGCTAATAATGCCTATAAGCACCTTAGTTCTACGATGGATGATATGGTTAATATCGTTGAGTCAACTTTACACTTTAAAGCTTTAAAAACTTGAACATTTAAAAACATAAAAGTCTTTAAATAAAGAATGCTTGGGGTTCCCCTGGTGGCGCGGTGGTTGAGAGTCCGCCTGCCGATGCAGGGGACGCGGGTTCGTGCCCCAGTCCGGGAAGATCCCACATGCCACGGAGCGGCTGGGCCCGTGAGCCATGGCCACTGCGCCTGTGCGTCCCGAGCCTGTGCTCGGCAACGGGAGAGGCCGCAACGGTGAGAGGCCCGTGTACCGCAAAAAAAAAAAAAAAAAAAGAATGCTTGGAAATGCATACAGTTTCTAAAGATACGTTTACTCACTGTATGAAGACCAAGGTGATGTGCTTAATGCCTAATGTAGAAGGTACTTAATCTCCAAAAGATGAGAAAGAAAAGCCCTCAGAAACCTGCCATGAACAGTCATTCCTGACCTGCTACCTCTGAGAAGTGACTTTTATGCATTCGCAGGGAATTTCATGGAATTACTGGATTCTTCTGCACAAGCTCTTAGATTGCGGCCCTGAGGTTCCCACAGACACACAACACATAGTGATCATGTAAAGAACTATACCTGCTAAGCTTGAGAATACACCACACATACATACACACACACTTACTCGTGCAGGCCAAGAGAGAAAGAGATCGTTACTTCTGCTGTGATTAGCAATTGCCCCAAATACTTTTAAAAATATGCATTAAAAAGCATTTTGTTATTGTTAATATGACCAGATAAAACTGGTTAATATATTTGATAGGACAGGTTAAATGTACAATAGGTCGGTGAAATTTCTGAGTATTTTATAATCTGAAGTCAAAGAATTTTTAAGACCTGACAGAAGCAGTTAGTCTAAGATTGCTAGGAAAATGGCACACTTTGAAAATCCACTATTTCCATCGGAATTGGAGCTGCTTTTCAACCCTCTGTCTTTCTTCAAGACAAAAATGACAGATTCTGAATCAAAGCAACGTTTAAGTGCCAACCAAGACTTTTGCTATGACGCTGGCAGGTTGAGGAGGTGCTTGGGAAAAGTGCTTTCCACCCCTATTTTGATTTCTTAGACCCTTTAAGAATGAAGAAGGGTGTAAATAAAGACATAAAACTGTTTTGTTTTAAAATATGAAGTTTTTCTTAAAAAAACTTTGTACTGTAAATAGTATGATTTCTGAATTTATTTTCTATATTAATTTCATATGATTGTACTCATGATTTCAACTGAACACTATTGTTTACTTACCATATATTTTAAAAAATTTATTTTATTGACGTATAGTTGATTTACAATGTTGTGCTAATTTCTACTGTACTGTCCCATATATATATATATATATATATATATTTTTTTTTTTTTAATGACTCCACTGGGGCCATGAAAAGTAGGTGATAGAAATCCGTGTTTAAGCCATAAAAAGCCATAGAAAAAGAAAAGGAGCTTGAAAGAACGACAAATGAAGCACACTGAATTTGGCTTTTTTCATCATTTTCCTTTTTATTTCCTCGACATTGATGAGTCAGGGACATACCCTTCCAGCAGAGAGAATGAGGTGCTTTTGTGGTCAATTCTGGGGCACAGGTAGTTTTTAAAAATTCCTGGGGGGGGGAGCGGTAATTTTGAGCAGGGGTTTGAATTGCATTCATATTCATGGTTCGTGATAAATTAGTTCATCCAAATAATATGAACCCCAATATGAGTCAATAACCAGATACCAATTCTAACTGGTATGGTAATTCATGAGCAGGTGTAATTCCTCTGTGTCAAGTGTTGCTTTCTTTAAAAAGATCGGGGTGTCCCACTCTGCCCTTCTCCCTCTTAACTGTCCTTCTCGATCACTGTGTCTCACTGGGGAACAGCCCTGTCCCATCGGCGCACCTTTCCCCTGCACTGTAATTGGAGCTCATACTTCCCCCGAGACGTAGAGACCCTGGGTCCTTCTTAAAGATAAAAACAAAAGTATAAAACCAGAGGCCCCAAGAGGTCACATGATATAGTCAATTTCTCATTACTAGCCCTGCACACAGCCCCGTGGAAGCCCCTCCCCTGAGTTGCATTTCCCCTGACTGTGTGTGTGTGTGTGTGTGTGTGTGTGTGTGTGTGTGTGTGTGTGTGTATCTTTGGCATAATGTAGAAGTCCCTAAATCTGAAAAGATCTTGATGAGAACTATACTTAAGCTTTTTCCATTAGCATTTGAATTTTTTAACCTACTCCAATTGACCCGTATTATCTATGTTCAGGAAAATGAACATTATAAATGAATAATATAATGGAAAGTGGTCTGATGGTCACCCAGGGCAGAATTTTCCTTCACAGGAGAGAATTTCTAACCCATCTGAGGGTAACGATTGTCAGCTTTCCAAATGCACAGTGACCACACAGGAGCAAACATTTTTTTTTCCTTTTCATAAACCATCTGCTCTGGTTTCTAGATTGTGGCCCCTAAAAGTCTACCACAAGCTGGTGTCCCCCAGAAGACACTAGGCCACAGGCATCTTTGGGGGGCTGCACCCTTTGCTCTGCTCTCTCCCCCCAGCAAAGCATCCTGCCCCCCAGAACTCATCCACAAGGTGCCCAAGGTGGGAATAGGCGTCAGGCTCCTGTTGGGGTCTGGGGCTGTGTCTGTGCCCATTTTTCCCGTCCCCTCACAGCCCTCATCACAAACAGGGGTCCCTGGCATGTGAGTGACAAGCCTTGGCTACGCCCTGCTTTATTTTAAATTCAAATATCCTGCTATGTCCAGTTCAGCCCTGATCCTTTTGATGACGAAAAGTAAAAATAGTCACCATAATCACCCCACTAATCTCCGAACTTCTGTGCAATATGCCAGAATGACAAGAGGAAAGAAAATCAAAGAGCAGGAAGAGAAAACCAGCTGGCAGAACCGCATCTCATCCGGCCGCCATGCAGGCCCACCGAGCGGCCACAGGGAGTGGCTGAGAGTGGGGACCGTGGCCTTGCGGCCACGCCCTGTGGTGCCACAGCCCACGCTCTCGGCCCCCATGCTCGGCTCCAGGACCTGGGGAAGCTATTGAGCCTCTGCCTGCCTCAGTTTCCTCTCCTGTAAAATGCATGGGTTGTGGAAACAAGAGCATGGTCATGCTGGGTAAATGAGTTAACCTAAGAACCCAGAACCTAAGGAAGCACGCACGGCGTGTCAGCTGCCTTTACTGAGGCCAGAGAGCGCGAGAGACCCTTTCGGGCAGCTTCACTGTGTGCACTGTATGCAGAGGTGGCCAGACACCAAGGAGGACTCCCTCCTGGACCCCGTCTCCCAGCCCAGTTCTGAGTAACCAGGCACAGCGGGCACGGGGACCAGCCTGCACCAAACATCCCACACACGGCCACTTGCCCTAAAGCTGAGCAGTCCTCAGGCTCCTCTCTCCTTGTCCGTCAGTGGCTCATTTCAAAATCCAGAGCACCCTTGGCAGTATTTAACACACCACCGTGAGTTTTCTCAAACTGCCGTGTATCATATACCTCAGATGGGCCAGCATAAAGGTCCATCTTTGCAAGTCATTAGCTGATCCCACACCAGAACGTAAAGTAGTTTTAGCTGACGCCACGTTCCCGACACATCAGCTGAAGGGTTCACTCCAGGTGACAGGAGGGGTTTGCTGTGCTGCCGTCACTCATATACTTAAGTTAGGTGCTGAAAAACACGCCTGCCTTAAAGGAGTTTGCTTTTTTAAATAGAAAAATGAAACTCGACTTGTAGAAGCTTCTTGACGAGCAGTTAGAAGGGTCTCTGCAGAGTGAGCATAGTGGTCCTGGCTCCCTGGGGCCTGGGGTGCGGGAAACCTGCTTGGGGACAGTTCAGGAGGGCAGCCACGGTGCCAGTGATGGGTTTATAACGCTTAACTTGGAGTGAATTGCTGTTTTCCAGACCGATTTTCCGCCCTGTGCTCTGTGGCAGTTTGGTGCAAATGACCTTTTCCAAATGTCGCAGAGCGTTGGTGTCACATGAAGACTGTGCCTGGTCCCCTTGAGTGATTTCAGGACATGAGCGATGGAGGCTCGTGGCCCAGTGCTGGGCAGCAAGGACAGTGCCCACAGCCGCAGTAACAGGTTCGTGTTTTCTTGTCCTCCAGAGCTGGGTGAGATTAAAAACGTCACCACCACGCAGCCCTCCCTGGAGCTGGACGGGCTGGAGAAATACACCAACTACAGCATCCAGGTGCTGGCCTTCACCCGGGCTGGGGATGGCGTGCGAAGCGAGCAGATCTTCACTCGGACCAAAGAGGATGGTGAGAAAGGGGGCGGCTTGTTGGGGGAGAGCTCAGGTCCCGTCTGAACCTCCAGGGGCCACACAGGAGGCTCCCACCAGGTGGCAGCATTCCCAGGCAGGAGCTATTGTTGGAAAGGCTGGGTCAGAGAATTAATTCACCCACCTATACTTGACTTTGCTCCATGCAAACTTTTTGCTGCCCTCCCAAAATATTCCAGCATGATTCAGACCAGCACTTCCTGTGTCACCTTTGTTTGATTTATCCATCATTTCTCTCTTCCCCTATAATTTTTCTTTTTTTGTGGGGGGGGGGGGGGGCACATATTATTTTAAAAAAAAGTGCCTTTTATCCCAGGGCT